TAGATTTAGTCATCTGTAAATGTTATACTCAGAGTTATCACCAGTCGTCCCAAACCTAAAAATGACAAAGATTTCCTGGATTTGGCATCTTTTTACAAAGAAAGCAGGAATGAATCCTGATAGTCAAAAGACTTTGAAAAATGAAAAAGTCATTAGATTTGGTATCTCAATTTTTATGGGGAAAAAAACCTTAAGTGTTTGTTCACGCATAAAAGAAAATGAATTATGGCACTATGAAAGCTACAAGAGCAACAATTTCAGAAAATCTAAAATTATCTACAAGTGTATGTGTGTGTGAGAAAAATGAGTGGGAATGTTGTAAACGAGAGGATGAGCCATGTGTGCAAGATAAAAATAATCATGCCCATGGTAGGGTCATCATAGCTGGCAGAAAACTCAAAATGTCATAAAGAAAAATGTGTTAGTTTAGAAAGTTTCAACAGTGTCAAAACATAAAATTTTAAAGCACAGAAACGAAAATGAATGAGACAACCCCACAAACATCAAGTTATAGAAGAAAATAGAAGAAAAAAATGGGACGTAACTTTTTCAGTATACCAAATCTTAATTGACTTAAAGATGACATAAAGTGCTTCACCATGATACCCACCCAGATTCTCATATTTATCTTTTTCATTCCCCTTCCACCCAAATTAAATTCCATTTCCTGCAGAGAAAGTACATCTCTATATTAGTAAGAATAAGAAATGAAAACAGTGAGTACAACTGATATAGATCCATTGACTTTTATTACAAATGTACTTGATCACTTGGCTTCAAAAAGTTTAAAATCGATACCCTATTTTCTGTATGCCAGTACAAAGCAAACTGTTTTACAAATTAAATACCTAAAAATTTGACAAAAATATTAAAATCTGATGAAAAACAATTATAAAAATCCTTAATCTCTCTCTTCAAAAAAGGAGGCAGTCTTCCCAGTCCTATTATACAATATTAATAATATTCACCATTTTTAGAATAGGTAGCTAAATTATATATTTTGTTAGCATACAAAACTCTTAGACTAATAGATTTTATTTGTATATGCTCCAGTTAAGTTTGTGAATGCCATCGGATTGCAATATCATCAACTATCTTTAGTTGAATCCTAATTTACACTTATTTAATAATTTGCATAGTTTGAAAGGGATAAAGGTTATTCTACAACTAATTATCATAGGCTATTACAGTGCTATTTTTCAAGGCATTAAAGTATTTGCTCCCAAATGAAATTATGTTTTCTTTAGGCAGGGGTTAAATTTACTAGCAGCTTTCTCCAATATCCGAAAGATCAAATTGAAAGTTATTTCTTTCCAGATGTGAAGACTTAAAAAACCCATTGATACTTTCCACTTTGAGTCAAATCTCAACCCCTGCATAGAACAATTAGAAAGTGACACTTTCAAGGTTTTTTGTTTCCCTGTTAGTTTTGGTTTCTACTCTCCATGGCTTTTGAGAAGCTGGAAAAGTTTCATCTTTCCTAACTAGCATTCTTTTTTTTTTTTTTTAATTTGGCAAATATTCATCTATCTCCAATCTGTATATAGTGGAGGAAAAGCCAATAGGGCTTTTCTTATGAACTTCCTTTGTTGTCAAAGGCATGTATAATGATTTCTACTGTTCTGGTTAGCTAACTTTAGCTCCCTCTGTGGCTGGATGACTGCTGCTTCTAACATCAGCATGATAAATAGGAGGCACAAATAAAAAGTAGCTTAAAAAAAAGGATTTGGTGATTTAAAAGAAACAAACAAACAAACAACACTAAACACACATATATATGGACATTTCAAATCTGGTGGCTGATCTCTGGATTAAATTACTTGACAGTGTCTCTCATTTTAAAGAACGTCAATATTGCAATGCAGTTCAAGTTTTGTTTTATACTTAGGCAAATAATAGTTGAACCAAGCTCTTGGACCTTAGTTGTAAGACAAAGCAGATCAATAAAGATAAGGCATACTTGTCAGGAATTAAGTTTCATTTATGTTTTTGGCACATTTGATCATACTGTCTTCTATGAATAACACATATGGTCAAATATACCACTTCCTTTTTTTCTCCAAGCACAAATAAGATAGGGTTTATCAACCAGTAAAATAAAAACAAGGAAAAAAACTTCAACATAAAACACTGAAATATAGAACCATGGTAAAGTACTGAGCACCTGGGGTAGGGGTGGGGGTGCAAGGATGAAACTGGAGAGAGGAGAACGGAAGGTGGTTGGGGAGATAAAGTGAGATGCAAAAAAGAGCATCTTTACAGTCATGTAGTCTTTTCTATGATCACCTCTTAAGTCTCAGAAGATCTGCATGTGGATTTTTTTTTAACCCACTGACCACAAATCAGACACTGATTTCAAAAATCTTAGTAAGATTGTGTTCAACTGTTATAGTGTAAATACAATTGCACAAATACATGTGCTTCTTGATCCGGTAGGATTCTAAGCAGAATCTGAAGTCTATAGATAAGAGAGGCTTCACTTTAGGTAACTTTGACCCTAAAGAAAACCTCATGAAAGAACTCGCATCTCAAAGGAAAGGACACTTTGCCTAAGTTTGCTGTGTTTTTGTTGACTTGCACTACTTATTGCTGGCTACTATGAAACACTATCTAGAAGTACTCCAACAACCTGTAGTACAAGGCTTAACTTTAAGAAGCTATAGTAAACAAGAGACAAAATCAAAGCAATTCTCTTTCCTAACTAGTAACAGCACAGAGAATGCAGTCTTTTCCATATCACAGTTAAAGTACAGTGAACAAAACAGCTCAACAAACCTTAAGACAAAAAAGTGCAGGTTATTAATGTTTACATGCAATTGATAAGCATTCCAAATGTCACATTATGCACTGTAAAAGCTCAACTTTACTATATGGAAATAAGAAAAATGCACCTTGGGGGGAAGGGAAAAGCAATTTAATAATTTCCAGTGATTTTGTAAGTAAAGAAATTCCTAACTATTGTACGGTCACCTCATATTTAACATTGTGTGAATATTAAAAGCAAACAATTTAATGGGAAAATGCACAGTACAATGGAAATAGCTTGTTATTCAACACATACAGTAGATCTCAAAAACAAAGACAACACACTCAACCAGGGAGCTTAAAATACCAAATCAAAACCCAAAGAACCAGCAGAAGAAGAAAAAAAATCCTTCAAAAAGACAACTGTTTCACCTTCCTAGGCCAATGCTCTACAATATAAGAAGCACTGATACCTTCTCCAGCTCCTACAAGTGGTGTCTTCTACATACAGCAGTTAGTTCCATAAGGCTGGATTTGCCAAGAAACAATTCCACCTCCAAAACTCTCTATGTCCTTTTTTTTTTTTTCTTTTTTTACCAAAATACTTTCTACAGAATTCCAAACCAAAATGTACTGTTTAAGGCATCATTTTTTTATAACATTTTCTCTTCACTCAAAGATGATAGTCATGCAGCAGTTTAATGATAAAAATATATTAATATTTTACTATACAGCAGCAAGAAGTTAGTTGTCAATTAAAAGCACACAAACACCTTTAAAAGAAAATCTGTAAAAGACTAGCGTTACAAACAATTTCAGTCTGGAGGACACCAGCTTGGTAAAGTGCTCTCCCCTAAGCTTGCAATCATACCCTATACCTTGAATATACTTTTGATAAAAGGCTTGTACACTTGGGGAACACAGATACACTTAGCATATAATGTAGCCAGTAATAACTAGCACCACAGCTACATGGAAATCTTTTACATATACCAACTTGGCTTTCATTTGTAAATTAAATTCAGAATCCATGGCTCAGTAGGATAACTCTATAATTGCGTTGCTCTGCTTTATAACAGGTCTACATAAGTTAACAGCACTGGCAAAAATCAAAGGATAGCTTTAGACTTCTTAACAAGTTTAGGAGACAGTGCTAGTGACCACAGATAGACTCACTACCTGATGTCCAAGTACAAGTTCACTGGAAATTGCTGCACGTTAGTTAAGTTTTTAAAATCTTTCTACACATAATAAAAAAAATATATTATGAACGATACAAGTACATCTCATATACACAAGAATGACAAAACGTCTACTTGGTCAAAGCAAACAGATGCAAAAAAATATTATGGGAGATTTCCTTTCTCTTTTTCCTTTTACTATTTCAATAACTTTGGTTCAAACCGTAAAAATCACAACTTAGCAAATTTAATTTAAATGCCTTTTTTAATAATTTCTCCATGTTCACAGAAGTTTCACTGACCATTTTATATGTTTAAGGTCCAGATGCAATGCATATTGTATAAAAGAGAGCACTTATTGTTTACCTTGCATGAATTAAACCTACGTACCTTTAACTCTACAAACTTCTGCATAACATTTAGACAAAGCTCAGACACACAGCATGCCTAGCCCTCATATATATACATATCTCTAATCACAGGTATATAGGGTGTCAAATATACTATAATAACCTCCATGTAAGGTTTGAAATTTGGTAACAAAATGAGAAAAACTAAAAATATTATTTTACGTGTTCTAAAATATCTCTTTTTTTGTGCTAAAGTCAAATGTTAGCTCAACATGAAAAGGACTTTTATATAATTCAGCAATATTATAATCTTGACCATTTTGCAAACACTTTTAATAATAATAGCTTAAACGTGTACAAAAGTTCTTGGTTAATTAGGGAAATAAACACTCAGTTCTTTATATTTTTTAATCAAGTAGGAAACACAGTTCATATAATGTTATTACTTTTTGCATTTTTTTTTGTTTTTTGTTTTTAGCAGCTGCTTACTGTTTTATATGGTGGATAAAGTGGACAACATCCAGCGATGGGTGGCAAGTCAAGAAGAGAAACTGTCAGTTGGTGGAGGTTCTGTGGGTGGTGCTCCCTTGGAGTTAACAGTTTGGTTTTTTTTTTTTTTTAACTTTTTACTTTTTATTTTCTCTCTTTACAGTATATTTTCTGGTGTGTGGCTGTGTGTGTGTGTATGCATGTGTGTGAGGGATTTTCTTTCCATTCAGTCTGATCAATCTTCTTCCCCTTCTTCCTCACCCTGCAGCAGTAGGGTGGCAGCCGCTGTTTCCTCCTGCTGCTGCTGCTGCTGCTGGTGAAGCTGCTCACATGCAGCACGCTTCTCCCGCTGCTTCTCTTGTATCTTCTTCATTTCCTCCGAGTACTTGCAGAAGGTGTGTCCGAACTTGGCCCACACCTTGTAGGGCACGGTGATGGAGTTGCGGTAGGTGGGCTTCACCTCGCTCACTCGCATAAACACGCCGTACTTGTTGGAGCCCACATCGAAGAAGAAGCGCTTGTTGTCCACAGTCAAGGAGGTGCCCTCGGGCAGCTCGGCCGGCTCCTCCTCCACTCCGTAGTCGTCGATGAGCTTGGCCAGAGCGTCACGGAACTCGATGAGCCCCTGCGCGGGGAGCGCAATGGTCTGGCCCTGCGTGGAACCCAGGCCAGGCCCCCGGTTGACCGTCTGGCGGATGCGCAGGAAGCGGCCGCGTTGGTTCTCCTTGAGATCCATGTAGTACTTGCGGTTCTCGCGCACCAGGAACTCACTCTTGAGCGCCCGGCGCGGCTCGTCCTGAGCCTGGGCCAGGTCGGGCGGCTGGCTGGGGCCCAGCTGTGCGTAGTGCTCGATGAAGTCGCCCAGGTAGTCGCGGAACTCCACCGCCACTGACATGGAGAGAGTGAGCCGGCTCTTGTTGCCGCCCGCGCCCACCTCAGCAATCTTCAGGAAACGGCCCTTGGCGTTCTGCTTCACGTCCAGGTAGAAGCGCTTGTTCTGGATGTCCACCCGCTTGGAGGCCAGCTCCTGCGTCTCGTGCTGCAGCCCCCCAGGGGCCCCGCCG